AAAAAAGAGACTGGTTAGTAAAATGAAGTAATATAGGCAACAAAAAAAAATGATATTTATCTAAACAATCCAGCAACGCGATGCAACACTAACGAGTCCCAGCAAAAGAGCAAATTGAGTACCAGTAAAAGTAAACTCCCAGAAAAAGAGCAAAGCAAAACACCAAAAAATCAAATCAAAGCACGAAAAGAGCAAAGCAAAGCACGAAACGAGCAAAGCAAAGCACCAAAAAGCAAAGCATCAGAAAGGTAGGGCAGTAGCAAATCGGAGCACCAGCAAAACGAAGTCCCAGCAAAAAAGCAAACACCAGAAAAGTAAAGCACCAGCACCAGTAAAAGCGAAGTTTCAGCAAAGAAAAAAGCAAAGTAAGCACCACTTAATGTCACCAGCGAAACGATGATACAAAAAAATTGAAAGTATTTAGATTAGTAAAATGAACTAACATAGGTAAAAAAAAAAAAAAAAAAAATGATACTTATCTAGACAACTCAGCAACACTAGCGAGTTCTAGCAAAAGAGCACAAGCAAGCACCAAAAGGCGAAGCAGCAGTAAATCGAGCCCCAGTAAAAGCGAAGTTCCAGCAAAAGAGCAAAGCAAAGCACCAAAAAAGTAAAATATCAGAAAGGCAAGGCAGCAGCAATTGAAGCAGCAGTAAAGTGAAGTCCTAGCAAAAGAGCAAAGCAAAGCACCAAAAAAGTAAAATATCAGAAAGGCAAGGCAGCAGCAAGCGATGCACCAAAAAGCAAAGTCTCAGCAAAAGAGCAAATACTAGAAACCAGTACCAGTAAAAGCGAAGTTCTAGCAAAGCACCATTTAATATCACTAGCGAAAATAATGACACAAGAGAATTGAAAGCATTAACAAACAATGATGCGTTATCTGCAGAATGAATATAAACGTCATGATACCGGCTAAACTGAACATAATAAACAATATCAATTACAACAAATTATGGCACCTACGATGCAGATCAGCAAGAACGAAATGACGATAATTACGACACTAACGACAAGGCAACACTATAAAGAAGAAAAAAAGAAAATGCTTAGTAAAAAAAAAAAATACAAAATCAATATAAAAAAATACTTATGCATAGTCAATCCATGTAACCAGGATTTTCTCTTGGTTAAATTTTATTTTTATATTATAAAAGATAGCGCCATAGTGCTATACCACTAAAATGCTACTTATAGTACTATAACAATATTCCCATATTAATTTATTAAACTATTTTATTATTACATCATATGAGATAAGGGTCGCATCACAGTGCTATAGTACTATAATGCTATAGCACTATAACAATATTCCCATTATATATATCTACAAAATATTAAAATTTCAGCTAATTTGGTCAAGTAGTTTCTGAAAAATTACTTAAAAATTATAGATATTTATTTTAACTAAATTATTTATAGTCCTGGAGCAATGCCCAGTTAAAGAGTTAATAAACTAATAAACTATTATTCAAAACTTAAAAACAAATATATAATACTATATATTAAAAATATATATTACAAAATATAAAAACTTCTAATATTTAAAAACTTAAAAACTAAAAAAATTATAATCGAGCCCAGAACAATACCTAGGCCTAAAAATTAAAAAACTAAAAAAAATATTAAAAACTTTAAAACAAATATATATAAACCTATATTTTTAAAATATATATAAAGTTAAAATTTTAAAAAACTTAAAATTAAAAAAATTAATACTAAGCCCCCGGAGCAGTGCCTGGGTTTGAGAGCTAGTATTGACTATATTGACTAATACCTTGCATTAGCAAGGCATTAGTAAATATAGTCAATATTAGATACAATTTGTTTTTATTATTAACAGGATCTCTGTTAAATTTTAAATTTAACAGAGATCCCAACTATTATCTGATCCAACCTTAAATTAAATGTATATATATGTTGTGTGTTAAATTAAAACCTGCGTCAGATTAAAATCATTATAATTCCGCTAATGCCTAACATAGGCACCCACCCTAACCCTAAAAAACTTCACATTTAAATTTAAATCTGACGCAAATTTTAATCTGACGCACGACATATATATACATTTAATTTAAGGTTGGATCAGATAATAGTTGGGATCTCTGTTAAATTTAAAATTTAACAGAGATCCTGTTAATAATAAAAACAAATTGTATCTAATATTGACTATATTTACTAATGCCTTGCTAATGCAAGGTATTAGTCAATATAGTCAATACTAGCTCTCAAACCCAGGCACTGCTCCGGGGGCTTAGTATTAATTTTTTTAATTTTAAGTTTTTTAAAATTTTAACTTTATATATATTTTAAAAATATAGGTTTATATATATTTGTTTTAAAGTTTTTAATATTTTTTTTAGTTTTTTAATTTTTAGGCCTAGGTATTGTTCTGGGCTCGATTATAATTTTTTTAGTTTTTAAGTTTTTAAATATTAGAAGTTTTTATATTTTGTAATATATATTTTTAATATATAGTATTATATATTTGTTTTTAAGTTTTGAATAATAGTTTATTAGTTTATTAACTCTTTAACTGGGCATTGCTCCAGGACTATAAATAATTTAGTTAAAATAAATATCTATAATTTTTAAGTAATTTTTCAGAAACTACTTGACCAAATTAGCTGAAATTTTAATATTTTGTAGATATATATAATGGGAATATTGTTATAGTGCTATAGCATTATAGTACTATAGCACTGTGATGCGACCCTTATCTCATATGATGTAATAATAAAATAGTTTAATAAATTAATATGGGAATATTGTTATAGTACTATAAGTAGCATTTTAGTGGTATAGCACTATGGCGCTATCTTTTATAATATAAAAATAAAATTTAACCAAGAGAAAATCCTGGTTACATGGATTGACTATGCATAAGTATTTTTTTATATTGATTTTGTATTTTTTTTTTTTACTAAGCATTTTCTTTTTTTCTTCTTTATAGTGTTGCCTTGTCGTTAGTGTCGTAATTATCGTCATTTCGTTCTTGCTGATCTGCATCGTAGGTGCCATAATTTGTTGTAATTGATATTGTTTATTATGTTCAGTTTAGCCGGTATCATGACGTTTATATTCATTCTGCAGATAACGCATCATTGTTTGTTAATGCTTTCAATTCTCTTGTGTCATTATTTTCGCTAGTGATATTAAATGGTGCTTTGCTAGAACTTCGCTTTTACTGGTACTGGTTTCTAGTATTTGCTCTTTTGCTGAGACTTTGCTTTTTGGTGCATCGCTTGCTGCTGCCTTGCCTTTCTGATATTTTACTTTTTTGGTGCTTTGCTTTGCTCTTTTGCTAGGACTTCACTTTACTGCTGCTTCAATTGCTGCTGCCTTGCCTTTCTGATATTTTACTTTTTTGGTGCTTTGCTTTGCTCTTTTGCTGGAACTTCGCTTTTACTGGGGCTCGATTTACTGCTGCTTCGCCTTTTGGTGCTTGCTTGTGCTCTTTTGCTAGAACTCGCTAGTGTTGCTGAGTTGTCTAGATAAGTATCATTTTTTTTTTTTTTTTTTTTACCTATGTTAGTTCATTTTACTAATCTAAATACTTTCAATTTTTTTGTATCATCGTTTCGCTGGTGACATTAAGTGGTGCTTACTTTGCTTTTTTCTTTGCTGAAACTTCGCTTTTACTGGTGCTGGTGCTTTACTTTTCTGGTGTTTGCTTTTTTGCTGGGACTTCGTTTTGCTGGTGCTCCGATTTGCTACTGCCCTACCTTTCTGATGCTTTGCTTTTTGGTGCTTTGCTTTGCTCGTTTCGTGCTTTGCTTTGCTCTTTTCGTGCTTTGATTTGATTTTTTGGTGTTTTGCTTTGCTCTTTTTCTGGGAGTTTACTTTTACTGGTACTCAATTTGCTCTTTTGCTGGGACTCGTTAGTGTTGCATCGCGTTGCTGGATTGTTTAGATAAATATCATTTTTTTTTGTTGCCTATATTACTTCATTTTACTAACCAGTCTCTTTTTT